TCTAGGAGGCGCGTCAGTGGGGAAAAGTCAGCCTTGCATAGTGCAGAGATGGGTCAAGTGAGGGTTCCGGGAAGTTCATGAGCACCCAGGTCAAGTGGGAATGCGAACTCTTGGTGTCCAAAAGGAAATGAACACAGACTTACCAACAAGACTTGTTAAAATGCCCTTCTCTTCTTCCCTCCATGTTTCCTGCACTTTCACAAAGAAGTGCTGAGCCCTTGTCACCAGCCACATGCTTGGTGTCTGACCTTGAATTATTCGTTGCTTCCTAATACCCTGGGCACTGACCTCAGCGAGTGTACCTGCTCTTCTCTATAGGGCCTGGGCCTGGAGTCATCTGCCAAGATCATCGCCAAGAACCCCTTCCTTAGCTGCTCAGTGTGGTTCCTGGCCCAGTGTGCCCAGAGCCATGAGAAATTCTGTGCTGAGGCTTCTGAAGCTCTGGAGACGAGAACGTGATTGGCCTGGCCACAGCGGGTGACATGGAGAACAGAGGCTGTGGGGCTCCCATCTGTGCACTTCGGGTAGTCCTGGGGGTATCTTGGTTTGTGTGCCCGGGAGCCACTGTGGCTGCAGGCAGTTTATCTGGATGTAGTCTCAGGACGTGGGCGTGCGGGTGTGGGGACTGGGGCATTGCAGAGAGGGAGCCAGGGGTTTTTCACAGGGTGCTGCTGGGCTGTGGGTTTGGACTCTGGGGATGCTGCCACAGTGGCTGCCAGCATCAGTCACTGCAGTGGTGGTTCATAGAGATGCTGCTGGCTTCACTGTGGCTGCTCCTGCATCAGGGAGGATCCGAAGTGTGCAGAGAGCCCACCGGCCCAGGCAGGGGGCTGTTGGCTGTCCAGTAGCATTGAAAGGCACGTGGTTGTCTCCTGCTCTGTCTTTCCCAGGCTTTTTTCCTACTCTCTTGCATTTCTTACTCCTTCACCTTCTTTTTCCTGCCACCTGTCATCACTTTGGCTTTGGGCAGCAAGACTCTGGCACATGAGCCTTTGGGGAGCAACTGTCTCCCAGCCGTTGCAGTGGTCAGGGTGCATGAGCGGGTCCAGCAGCTGCAGTCAGCTTGGGGGGTTTGGTTGACTTGTGTTCATATTGTCGGAGTCCACAGAGGGAGCGTGTGTGCTTGGAAGTCATGGCCTTGTCTGTGCAGGGGCAGGGTATAGGTGGTTTATGGCAAACCTTGGAGGGCTTTATCTACTACCTTCTCCTGATGAGGAAGAGAGTGTAGCCATTGAAGGTGTATAAGGAGAAAGAGACAGTTCAGGTTTTTGAGGAGAAAGTGTTTCACTCTAGGGTCGAGGTATAAGGTGGTTTCTGAGTGTCTTACTCAAGACCTTACTAGTAGAGGCATCATTTAAAAACGAATTAAGAATCGAGTCTCTTCCTTATGTGACAAGGAGTCTGGGCCTTGGGTCCAGCACAGCTGTGCCATTAAGTTCAGGATCTCCCTTTTTCCTTGTGATCCTGAAGGCACTGACCCGGGCTTCCACTTGCCCTGTCCTGGTGGCTGGCCCCTGCTGCAGTTCTAGGCAGGGGCATGGCAATGTCCATGGCAGTACCTCACCTACTAGGCGGCAGAGCCCCTCTCAGAGCCCCTGGCCCCTTCTCCTGGACACCACTGGCTGGGCCCAGGTCCTGGAGGAAAGCTGCAGCAGCTTCTTAGCTCTGTGGAGGGGCTCTTGCCCCCAAAGAGGGGTGGGAGCTGGAAGTGGGTAGGGGTAGGGTGGGTACCAGCACTGGCACTTCCCAGCAGCCACTTTCCCAGAGGAAAGTTCAAGCAGGAGCTGCTGAAGAGTTAGCCGACAGGCGGATTCTGGCCCAGTCCTGCCTTGTTCACAACTCAGGGCTTTCCCCACACTGGATTTTAATCTGACAAGGCTTCCAAATCCCCCCCCCCCCCCCCCCCCCCCCCCCCCCCCTCCCCAAACCTCCCCCCCCTTGACGCGCCCTCATCCCACCCCCCTCCCCCTCCCCCCCCCCCCCCCCCCCCCCCCCCCCCCCCCCCCCCCCCCCCCCCCCCCCCCCCCCCCCCCCGGCACCATGTTCATCACCAGCTCTGCAGTATGCTCACAATGCCTGCCGCCTAGAGCAGGCAGAGCATGCAGAGCATGGGAGCTCTTTAGCCACCTCCTACTACCCCCACCTCCTACTAACCCCATTTCCTACTACCCCCACCTCCTACTAACCCCCACCTCCTACTAACCCCCACCTCCTACTAACCCCCCACCTCCTACTAACCCCATTTCCTACTACCCCCACCTCCTACTAACCCCCACCTCCTACTACCACCCCACCTCCTACTAACCCCCACCTCCTACTACCCCCCTGCCTCCTACTAACCCCACCTCCTACTAACCCCACCTCCTATTAACCCCCACCTCCTACTAATCCCCACCTCCTACTAACCCCCACCTCCTACTAACCCCCACTTCCTACTATCCCCCACCTCCTACAACTCTGCCTCCTATTAACCCTCAGCTATAGTGTGTGTTTGCTTGTTTGGTTTTTGATTCATGCCATCAACTGGCTTATGCTTTGGTGAGCTCTAATTCTCAGATACTTTTTATGGGACCATATCTGTTCCTGGCATATCACCCACATATTGAATTGTATCCCAGGGCAAATTCTATTATACAGTGAAGCATCATTTTAAGGGCAAAAATTCTATAAGATGTTGTTTCTACCTTTTTTATAACAACCAGCATATTCTGCTTTAGTTATTTAGGCATGTGTATCACCCAATAAGCAGACTACAAAAAAGACTTCTATGACTCAGACAATTTGTAGACCTTTGGAAATGTTTTTGTTATAGCCACTAAAAAATAAAATAAAATAAAATAAAGCCCACACTGCTGTGGGCATGAAGCCACCAAGCCTGTCAGAACGTGAGCCCCCAAAGCAGCTGTGGAGACCTCCAGCTCCAGCTCTGCCTGTGCACCCCCAGAGGTGTCCTGTGTCCTTCAAGGATGGACATTGGTCCTTGATTTGGCCTTGGAGTGAGGTGTGCAGTTCTGTCCGAGTCATGAGCTCAGCTTCTCATTTTTCTTTTAAGTTTGGTATTAACAATTGAATGTTGATTCTAATTATATGGTTAAGGACCTTTTCCAGTCAATTTGAAACTTCCCTAACACTGTCTTATGGCTCTAGAGATGATCCAGGTGCCTGGACTTCAGGCCAAGCACTCCAACCTTCAGTTGTAGAACAGAAACTGAGAATGTGGGTTCTTATCATTAAACTCCTTAGCCAAGGTTTTTCTCTGGCCTCGTCGTGAGGGACTCTCCTTCCCGGAGTCAGTCCATCCTTCTCCAGGCTGCCTTTGTGGTCTAGGTGTTGGATTGCTGAGGCTGCCTCAGCTTCCAGGGAACCAGCTGCCACTTTGCCTTTGCCTGCTTCCCTTGACTTTTCCCACCCACCTGGATTCTTATTGCTCCTGGCTCTGGTTGCACCTCCCTGATAACCTCACATTCCAGCACTTTCCAGACATGCTCCTTGTGCCTGCCTGTCTATTGCCTGTCCTGTGCCTACCCATTCACCCCAAATGCACTCTGAAAAAGACTTATGTGGAGTGGCATGCACTCTGAAACAGGGACCCAAGGCAGGTCATTATAGATTCTATGACTTTCATTCTAAGAGAGCTCCCCACCCGTCCTTCCTGTATTTACTTCTCTCGTAGGGAGCTCAAATAGCATGCTCTCACAGCATTCAGAGAGGACTCTGTGCTCCTCAGATTTAGCAGAGAAGCTTTCCTTGCCCCTCTGGAGGATACCGTGTTCCTCTGTGAAGGTTGCTGCCGGTGGCGATGGACTCGTTCTGTGTGTTTGAGTGCTGTTTGAGCTCATCCAGCGCATCCTCCACAACACTGATGCACACTCAAAGCGTGGTTTAGTCTGCCTGTTCTCTGGCTTGGTCTGCTTTGGTGGATCACCATTGCCTTCCAAGAGGTGCACCTGGGAGTCTGCCATTGTGTGGGAACTAGACATGTTTTGTTTGGCTTCTCATTGCTTTAAGGAATTCTAGATTAGGGTCAGCCTTGGATAATTAGATTTCTCCCTTTGAACCTTCAGAAGATGTGAGTCACCATCTGAACAGGGGCCCTGGGAATAGGAGCCAGGCCTGTGCTCTGTCATTCAAGCCACTTCACAGCTTCTCTCACTCAGCTGTGTGACTGGTCTCCGTGATCATTGGAGGTTCACCCCCTGGCAAGCACCAAAGGAAGATCCCAGACTTCTCCTGGGCAGTCAAGCCCTCCAAGACTTGGACTTACTCCCTCTACCAGATTTTTTTTTTTTTTTAATGCCCTCATTCCTCATGAGTCAGAGCTCTGGAATGCTCCTTGTCTTTCCTTTCTCATCCTGGGGCACCCCCATTTCCTACCACACTGACTCCTTTGACACCACTCTCCTTTGACTCTGGGCTCTGACCGATATACTCCCAACTGCCCGTCACTAAACTTGACTTTTATGCATAGCTGACGGATGTTTCTCTAAGGCCTTTCTGACTTTGCAAATTGATTCTTCCTTTCTGTACCCTTCTGTTCCATTCAGTGCAGAGCAGACTGCTCTTGACTGCACACTTTGCATGGGTGTCTCTCCTGTTGGGCCACAGGGGCTGCCAGGGCAGGGTCTGCCTGCATCACTGTTTACACCCACCAGGCTGCATGCAGAGGCATTGGGCAGATAAGCCAGTAAGAGACTTCTTTCTCAGAGTTTCTCAGACTGTGAGTGTTCAGTGCAGTGTTGTTTGTTATTGAATCTGAAGTCAGCTTCACCTGTCAGTGCATTCCTGTGCCTGCAGGTGGCCTGGGCTGGGTGTAGTGAACTGCATTGCACTGAAGGGATAACAAGCCAAGAGATGGTGCCCGGAGTGACACAGTGGCCTGCATGGCTCTGTGGGCCAAGGAGAGGCAGGGAGGTCCCATCTCCTTTACTGTCATCACCCCAGGAATGACTCTGTCACTAGTTTGGAAGGCTAGTTTATATATCTTGGCATTTTCTCCCTAGGTAATGAGTCGGATATTGAACTAGAAAAGAAGTATAAAGACGATGATCGAGAAAAGGGCCCGAAAAGACCTCGGGCGCAGAAAACAGAGAAGGTCCAGAAGATCTCAGGAAAGGAGGCGGGACAGCTTTCTGGAGCCAAGAAACCCATCATCAGTGTGGTTCTAACTGCTCACGAAGCCATTCCAGGTGCCCATGATGGGTGGGAATGGCAAAATGGGCTTTCAGCAGGACTGTCCCGGAGCAGCCTGGCAGGGTAGTCTTATTGGGAGTTCGGGCTCAAACCAGAACTGTGGTCTTGGGTGGTTCATTTGCCGATGGGGCTGTCATTTAGTCACCCATGAATTTGGGACAATGACAGACTTACTTCCTCCCCAGGACTGTGTGGGTAATGTGTGGAGTAGAAAAGGCTGCTGCCCACAGAGCGTCCATCTGCCACAGTGGCTGGCTCTGGATTGGCCTCTCCAGGAGCACTGGCTTGTGTGCCCCAGAGCCTCCACTGGAGGTCCCCTCCCTTGCTACCAGCACCTGCCTCTTCCTGGGAAGCCAGCCTAGACAGACACTGCTGCTCCCCTGATCCCGGGAACTCTGCTTAACTATTTGTATTTTTAGTGGGTTCTCCAAATATTGTGTATTACTAGAAATTTCCATTTCTATTTCCTTTTTACATGAAATAACTGGTGTATATGCCATGCTATTTTTTAAAGTCTCTTTTAGGATGCAACATTTTAGAAAAAAAGGGGCTTATAATAGTAGATTTCAAAGCATGATAATATTTTGATTTTTTTCCTATTTATTTGGAATGGTAGTTGTCAAAAAATTTACAAGATCAAGTTTAAAAACAGCTACTGCCTTTTAAGTATCTATTTTCTTTGCTTTTTAAAAGTATATTTTCAATGCTAATAGTAACTCACAATTTTAAGTGAAAGCTCTGAATAAATATTTCACTGCAGAGTCAGGCAATCAGTACAGAATATACAATGTAAAATTAGGTGCCTAGAACTTTCTGGAAAGTCACTTTGCCCAATTTCACTTCAGAACAGTATTATTCTGTTCTGAATGATTATTCTGTTCTGTTCTATTATTATATGAGGGTTTTCTATTTCCAGTGGTTGCTAGAAAAAGTTTCCACAATTTTTCTCAAAATTTAGTGGCAATATTTTGAGATTTTGACAGTAAGGTGAAAGTGTAATTAGTTCTCTTTGATATTCCAGAAACAATATCAAACAATATTGGAAACTTTTCTAAACAGCAGTTGACACCTTCCATCCCCCTGACACACAGGTCCATGCACTCAGGCCCATGCACACACACACACTTGGTATGTGTATACACGTGTGAGGGTTCACTGCTATAAAAGTGGTCTTTGATCATTTCACATTATAAAATTGCAGAAGCAAAGGTGACCTTAGAGATTTTTCATTCCGAACTTTTCATATCATAATGATGGCATGGAAGGAGAATTCCAGAGATGTTAAGGTAATGTCGTATGTGGGACTGACCCCAGAGGGTGTAAATTCCTGTTTGTAGTCTCTTTTGTCCTTCCATGCTATCTCCTGCAGCCTGTGCTTAAAGCTCAACATGTGTGGCTCTGAATAAACCTTGCACATAACGTGTATATGATTGTAAGTAGAGATGTCCATCATGAGGACATTTAGATGGATTAGAAAACTTGCCCCTTCTCCCCTCACACACACATACACACACTTGCACACATGCAAGTTAAATGTGTCAGCTGGAGAACAGCTAGTGTGTTGCACAGGACTCCTGCAGCACTGCCTCTGCTGGGATGGGTCAGCCTTTTCTAATGCCTCCCATTCAGCAGTGTATTGTGCCTCCACCTCAGGTGCTACCAAGATCATTCCAGTGGAGGCGGGGCCTCCCGAAACAGGAACAGCAAATCCCGATACCACTGCGGCAGATCTGGTGCCTCGGAGAGGGTACCAGGAATACGCCATTCAGCAGACCCCCTATGAGCAACCCATGAAGTCAAGCAGGTAAGTGTACTGATCTGTGTGACCCACAGAGCACTAGAAGGGTCAGTATGTTTGTTCGTCTGCGGTCTGTTTACAGGCTTATTTGTGAAGGATGTTGCCTTCTTGACGTGAGGAAAGAATTCACCCTCCGTCACAGCTCCAAGTATATATTGCCTCTGAAATGCAAGGCAGAGCAGCTTGTTTTTGGAACTGAGCACCAATTGGCTTAATGAAGGTGGAGCATTTCACTTCAAGCAAATGTGTTTAACCTTTATTAGGAAAGGTATAAACATAGCCTGTCTTCTCTACTCTACGTATTGTAAACAGTCTTCATTCCCCTCTTTCAGAAGTACTACAAGAATGTTGTAAATGGTTCAGACATCCCATATAATGTGAATTCATGTAAACCATAGTTCCCTTTTCCAGATTTAATGACTTGGTAGTTTGGTTCATATGTCCATAATTTTATCATGATATATTAACACACATTGCTTTAATTTTATTATGTTTTCAAACATGAAATACCAACTGTATTATTTTCAGCTTCTAAAAGAACATACTGCACCATGAAAACCTTTCATTTTAAAAAATATTAAGAGCTGGAGATATAGCTCAGTGGTGGAGTTCCTGCCTGGCATTTGCAGGGCCCTGGGTTTGATCCCCAGCACTGCAAAAATTTGTGTTTGCTATCATGTGGGCCTGTTGTCATTTAAATAGCCAGTATTTGCTATGATGGACAATGTAGTGGTTAACATTCTGAACCCTCATCTTCCCATAATTCTAGGCTTCTTGTGGGATAAATTGATAGAAGTGAAATTGATGCATGGTAGGGTATGAGTCCTTCAAACATGAACCACCATTAGACACCATGCTCCCAGTGCACGGAGCAGTCAGTCTGCCCCTGTGTGAAGGAGTATGTTCCTTATTCCCTCCTCCTGGCGGGGGGGGGGGTTGTCTCAGCTATGATATGTCCTTGCAGAAGTCCATCAGCAAAGTGACCACCAGAGTTCTGAAAACATTTTCCCAGATACAATTAAAGGCAAAGAGATGCCCGTTGCCAGTGTTTCCCTGTTTCTAGAAGAGGCGAAGTAAAAGCTTCTTGGGTAGAACTCAAGCCCAAAGACCGGACAACCCTATGGTGGCTCTAGACTCTTCACCCTGAGTTCAACTCAGCAAGCCATGTGTCTGTTAAATGCTAGGTGCTGGCATGTGACAGAGTCTGACCCAGTCCCCATGCTGTGAACCTTGTGCTCTGTGCAGCTTGACACAGTTATTTGCTTTTGATCATCTGTCACCCTGGCCTAAGTTGTCTGGTAGAATCTTAGTTCAGGGTGAGAATAAATGATGAGATGTGAGTGTGATGCCTGACACACATCACACCATTACACTGTCACATCACGTGGTGCCTGACATTACACTGTCATATCATGTGGTGAACTCCATAATTTGTAGCTTCAGTCCTCTGTTGTTGTAAATGTGAACAACTGAAGTCTTACGAATTACAGATTCGTCAAGACTCATTCCCTTGACGAATCTGTAATTGAATTAAATCTCATGATTGTTCTCTGTCTCAGGGGGATTTGCTTAACCAATTATCGTCACAGTATTTCAAGGTCTGTTAGGAGGGCTTCAGCTGAATGACACCCTAGTAACAGGAGAATGTATTCAAAATTCCATTGATAGATTTAGGCCACATTCCTGTTATGTGTGTTGTTAATATTCATTGTGTAAATTATAAAATAGTTAAGAAAGGCAGCTTTTTTTTTCATGAGGACTCTGCTCTGTAAAATATAGATTAAGAAGTTTAGGTTATATCATTTTTTTTCTTTAGGTATGATACAGATTTATATAGAAAATTTTCTAAGTCCAGAAAGCTAAGGAAAAAGTAATTTGTCACTACCCAAAGACAGTTCATATTTTTGATGTATTGCCCTATGGCCCTTTTCAGTATGTTCATTTTATAAAATTGAGTTTGTGTTTTATGTGTGATTTTGTATTTTGTATTTGAAACTTAGTCACGTTACATTTTCATTATTACTCAGAGCATTCCCACACATCTTGCTTCTCAGCTATATGCTATGACTTATTAAGGATGTAGGACAGTCTGCTCAGCTCCGGACATGGAAGCCAGTGAGATGACTTTAAAATGCTCATCTGATTTGTTGTTACCTTGAAGGGTTCGCCTTGGTATCAGGAGAACAGGCCTTCTCAGAGTCTCCTTCCCCACTGTCTCCTCCTGAAGGAACGTGAGCTTCGGCCGCTGACCCTTTTTACTCTCTGATCTCCCCTGTTGGTACCTGTTGCCCTTCCCTGGTGCATCCCCGCACCCTGGCTTCGTTGGCTGCTGTTCCTTCTTTGGCTGTCTGCTCAGACGTGCCATCTGCGGGGAGCCTTCCCTGTCCCTCAGATCAGGTCATCTGCCTGAACAAGGTGCTGGAAGCGTCCTGCATTTTCCTTCCAGCAGGGAAGATCCCTGCTGCTGACGGTCCGACTGTGACTGGAAATCCGCAGGCTGAGCCCCCGAGAGCAGGGATGGGTTTGCCTTTGTTCCCTTTTGTATCTCTAGTGCCTGTAACCCTTTTCTAAATGAATGAATGAGTGAAAAAAAGAATGTGCAATGAAAGTAGTTCTGTATGTTGATGCCTTCAAGCAGCTTTCTGTTCTTAAAGACTGGAAAATGGACAACGAGCAACTTCATCTGAAATGCTTTCTTTCAGAGAGATTCCCAGAGGTGGATCAACTGGGCTAAGGTATATGAACTTTTAAAGTTTCTTTCTAAATGCAGGGTGACATTAGCTCTCTCACTGAATAGGCAACATTGGAGTAAATTAATCTAGTAGAAATTCTGTGGACTCTGCATCCCTGTGCATCTGCTCACAGTCATAGTGGTTTGTGATCAGAGTCAAAGGCCAGTTGCCCTGCCTCTTCTCTGCCAGGAACAGGGCACCTAGGGCTTTGCTAGGTACTTGTCTAATAATACAGAAGCTCAGAAGATTCTCTTAAGACCATTTTGATCTTGCATTAGAGGAGGAAATGCTGTGATTTGTTTATTTAATTAACATTACAGGGATTTTTTTCTTTACTATTCTTCATACCAATACAATGTATCACCTTCTGGATATCTTTGTCATTTGGGAAAGGTACAAATTACTTTGCTTAAATATGCCCTGGGTCTAGGATGCAGGCATATTAGGAACTTTCAAATTTGAATATTTAAATTACATCATTGAGTTGTACCCACTGGTATTTATGGACTACAGTCCATTTAAATGGTGTTGATTCAGAGATGAGGTACACTGTATTGATCAGACCTGGTTGTGTGGATAGTTTCACAAATGCAGACTTACAGTTGTAGTAGGTAGAGCTGATGCTGTCTAATCAATGGCTCTGCATGATTACTGTTGTGTCACAGGTCCTTCTTGACTCACTGGACATACCACTGGGAAGAGCAGTGACAGCTACAGAGGAAGTCCTACCTGCTTCTTTGGTCTCCTCTGCCTGTTCTGTCTCTGGTGCTACTGAAGTACTTTTGGTGACTGTCATGTGCTGAAACAAGTATCAGCCATTTTAACAGCAGTGAAACTCATACAGGAGCCTTCTCTGTGTGCAGGATCCCTGGGGATGCTGCTCTGCATCAGTCATTTCAGGCAGCAGAGAGAGAGGATGAGTGGGCAGGCTCTAGAAACAGGTAGTCTGCCAGTGTTCAGATCGCTTACCAGTTTTAAAATGTTGGGCAAACGCTCACTTTCCTTATCTGTAAAATAGGCATGATAGATAGGATGGAATAGTTGGAGCACAGTTGGCCATGTTAGAGGTCCTCAATAATCATTAGCTGCTGCTCTATCCTGTTTAGAGTTTGTGTTGCCACATTGAAGGGTACAGGCTCTATGAGGCACACCATGCTTTTATTTTCTACCACATGCAAAATCTGACAGTGTCTGTCACACATTGGCAGGTGTTAATCACTGGCAGTCATTTGTTTCAATGTATATGAGTTTAATAAATGACAATGTGTTTTCCCATCTGAGGTCTAAACCAGCCATGATGGAGGAGAAGGACAGAGTCTGATGTCAGCTCTGCCCGTGACAGCTGTGGGGACTGATCTTTCAAGCTGTGCTGCAGTGTGAGGCTGCCTGCTGCTCACACCTGCAAGCCAAGCCACTGCTGGCCTTGTGTGCAGATGCCTCCCAGGCTGAGCACCTGCTGTCTGCACAGCCAAGCATCTCCTCCAGAAAGGGAGAGGTAGAGCTCAGCTACAGAATTCTAGGACTTGTTCCAAATTCACCAATTAGATATGTTAGTTTTCTTCTCCTGGAAGAAGCAAAGACCTGGAAAAGGCCTGGGGTCTTTCCCTAATGAGTGGCCTTTACACAGAAACTTGCAAAATGGGAATGAGGTCATCCCAATAGTTAGTGGAATGAACAGGCAGGTCTGGATTTATCAAAACAGCAGAACAAGGTGAGCGTGGGGGCACAGGCCTATAATCCTAGTGACTCAGGAAGCTGAGGCAGGAGGATGGCAAGGTTGAGACTGGCCTCAGTGACTTAGTGAGGCCCTAAGCAATTTAGCAAGACTCTTCTCAAAATAAAAAAGTAAAAAGGGCCGGGGCTGTGATTCAGTGGTAAAGTGTCCCGGTTCAATCCCTAGTACCCAAAGCAAACAAACAGACCCTCCTGTCCCCCAACAACAACAAAACCAGCTTAACAAACTAGTTGTATTTAGTCTCATGGAGACTGAATTTATCCCAGTAAGACTGGTTCTGTTAAAAAATCCCAGAATGTGAATAGATCAGCTCTTTTTTTTTTTTTCTGTTTAAAGATAGTTTATTAATTATTATTATTATTATTATTTTTTTTTATTGTTGGTCGTTCAAAACATTACATAGTTCCTCATACATCATATTTCACAGTTTGATTCAAATGAGTTATGGACTCCCAATTTTATCCCGTATACAGATTGCTGCATCACATCAGTTACCCTTCCATTGATTGACATATTGCCTTTCTAGTGTCTGATGTATT